AGTGCTTGCTTCTGCTGGCCCCGCGGCCCGCTTGCCCTGCCGAGTGGCTGCTCCAGCCTCCCCTTCCCCCGGCAGGGCCCAGTTCGCACCCGGCCGACGCCGCTGCCGCTCGGACCGCTCCGCCTCGAGGCCGATGCTCTGACGCTCCCGTGCGCTCCGACGCCCGCGTGGCGCCGGAGTGCCTCCCGGCGCTGCCGGTGCCGACTTCGCCCGGCTCTCCGTGCCGATGCGGCCCGACTCGGTGCTGGCCGCTCCTGCCGCCGCCCTGCGGGGTGGGGTCCTCCTCCTCCTCCTCCTCCTCCTCCTCCTCCTCCTCCTCCTCCTCCTCCTCCTCCTCCTCCTCCTCCTCCTCCTCCTCCTCCTCCTCCTGCCCCTCCTCCTCCTCCTCCTCCTCCTCCTCCTCCTCCTCCTCCTCCGCGCTCTGGAGCCCCCCCGCCCCGCCAGACGCCGAGAGGCAGCGGGGAGCCAGCCGTGAGCCAAAAAGCCCTGCGACTGGGGGGCGCGTGGCCAGACACCCTCGCGCTGTGAACAAAAATCAAGACGGGAGGTTTTTCGCCATTTTCGGCCTCCGGGGGCCCTTACCAGGCCCCGGGGCTGTCAAAAAACGACTCGGGATGAAAAACTGGTTCCAGGGAAGGGGTTCCAGACCTCTGGAGGTCGCCGCTGTGAAAAAGATCACGACGTCGGGGGTCTGGGTAATGGGGGGGCGATACATGGGGGGCAGCGAGGGCTGCAGAAAAGGAGCCCTTCAAGGCCCCTGAAAGGGCCCTTTAGGCCCCAAAGGGGGCCTCTAATGTCCGAAAGGGGCACTTTTCTTCCCCTCTCCCCCATCCATCGCCCCCATTACTTCGCGCCCAAGTGACCAACTGCGAAGCTTATCCCTGTGGGTCCACTCGACGCTGGGCCACTGGACACCCCCGCTGGGGTTCTCGCGGCTGCAGGCACCCTTCGAAATCTGAGCCGCGGCCGGCGTTCCAGAAATGTGTCCCGCAGGGGTCGCCCAAGAGCGCAGGGCTTTTTTTCCATCGGGGAACAAGCAGTGACATAAACATTGAAAATCGGAGGTCCGCGCGGATTCTCCGGATCGGCGCTGGACCCCCCTCCCTGGGGCGCGGAGCGGAGGCGCCGCCAGGGGGCCACAGCGCCGAACCGAGGAATCCGCGCGGACCTCCGAGCGGTTTGTTCTCGTGCCGTCGCGTGCTCCAGCAGCGCACGCTCGTCTTTCTGTCCGTACTTCTGTCCGTGCCATCGTCTCTCTCTGCCCATGGTTCTGCCAACTGGCCATGCTTCACGCTCGTGCTTCTGATGTTCGGGGTCCCCGCTCGCGGCAGCCCGCCCGCCGGGCCCCCCTGGGCCCAAAGCTCGGCCACGCGCAGAGGGGGACTGTACAGTCGGGGCGCTGAGGAAGGAACCCTGTTCGTTGGGGAGGGGCTCGGTGTTCCTTCGTTGTTCTGCAGTTCGCCTTTGGTTTTGCTTGGGGTTTCGATGGGAAGTCGAAGTTTCACTCATGGGAAAAAGGGGCCTCGTTCCTTGTTTAGGGTTCCTTAGGTCAACGCCCCGACTGTAGGGGCACGGGGGGCAGGCTGCCTGGAAGCGCCCCCCCCTGCCTCTCGGGAGGCGCGGGCCCGGCCCGCGGACGTGGGACCGGCGCCTCCTGCAGGAAGCAGCCCCCCTGGCGAGAGGCCTGCCCCCCTCCCCCTCCTCCTCCTCCTCCTCCTCCTCCTCCTCCTCCTCCTCCTCCTCCTCCTCCTCCTCCTCCTCCCTGGCGCGCGTCGCCACAAAAGCGGCGCGGCCCCCAGCATGTTCAAGCCCTTCTCCGCGCCCGGGGGGCGTGAGGGCCTCGGCTTCCGCCTGCACGTGGCCGCGGGCCAGGAGGCGCGCGCGGCGCGGGGGGGGGGGAGGGGGGGGGCGCCGCGGCGGCGGGGCGGAGAGCGGAGCAGAGCTCGGGGGCTTGGGCTCGGGCTCGGGGGCTCGGGCTCGGGGGCTCGGGCTCGAGCTCGGGCTCGGGCTCGGGCTCGGGGGCCCGGGCTCGGGGGCTCGGGGGTTGGGGGCTCGGGCTCGGGGGCTCGGGGGCTCGAGCGCTCGGGGGCTCGAGCGCTCGGGCTCGGGGGCTCGGGCTCGGACTCCGGCCCGGGCCCGGAGCAGGGCAGAACGGGGCCCACGGGAGGCGCCCAGGACGCCCCCCGCGAGCCCTCGCAAGAGACCCCAGGATGCCCCAGGACGCCCAAGTGGTCCACCTCTCAGCTGTAGTGGCGACATGGGCCGACCAGGAAGCTGAAGGCACACAGAGCGGAAGAAGGTGAGAAGCGAGGGAGGGCAGAACGGGGAGGGAGGGCGGAGGAGGACAGGGTACCCATGCCGCTGCCCTTCCTTCGTCTTCGCCTTCCTGGGGCCTCCTCGGAGCCACCGCTGGATTGGCCTCGAAATTCTGGTCAGAGCGCACCCCGGGATAGGTCCGGGGAGTGGCGGTATCGGTACCTTCTGGTTTCCCCGGGGGGGA